GGTTACGTCAGCAAGCATTTATCATTCATTTCCATAAAGCTCAGGGGTTGTTTTGGTTGCAGCATGGGCACGGTGCCAGAGGACAGGTGGAGACACCTCGCTGATGGCAGAAGAGTAGTTTAATTTAATTACTCTGAACAGCATTGGGAATACATTATATACTGTATGTTAAATATTACTTGGTTTTCCATTTGTGGTCTATTTAAGTTGCTAAATGTAACGCTAGTGGTAGGTTTCTTTTGCCACTTTGACTTCACATTTCTGATCCTTTTAGAGATTCTTTCTAGACATCCTCCACAACATTTTGAAAACGATTTTACCTGCATAACCCAACACGTTGTCTGTGTCGTCTACGTGTGTTTCTTTGTCTGCAGGCGGCTGTGCGCTGTGACTCCATGGATCAGAGCGGTTCAACGGACGACTTGGCAGAGCCTCCCCTCACTGTGACCGCTGTCTCTTCCACACCACCACGCCAGAGATCTTCTAGTGTACACACACTGAAATTCACACACCCCCAGAGGGTCATTTCATGCAGGAGTAACAGCCGGAGCAATAGTGAAACCACTGAGCAAGAACATGTACCCGAGCAGGCCATCTGCAGCTCTCAGCCAGGAGCAGATGTGGAGAAGAGGCCTGTCAGCCCACAGAGACCCTCCAGCCTGAAGGTGCCCAGCTGTGAATCCACCTCATCAAAGACCCTCTGCAGAGCGGCCAGCCTCAGCCCAGACCCCGGCCCACAGTCAGACACCGCAGACGAGGAAGTCGGCCACATTAATAGTTCTGATCACTCACACTCACAACTCCCTCCTGGCTCCCCACACAAAAGCAGACACCTCACCCCTAGCCCCGTGGAGCACAGGAGTCGCCTCAGCCAATCAGTGTCTCCGGTGTCGGGCAGGAACAGGAAGCAGAGGGTGAGCCCGCCGCCAGGAGAGGAGTCCATTACTATGGCAACCCAGGTGATGGACAGCAGTTCTGAGCTGAGGAGGCGGACTCTGTCATTTGACGCCACGACCCTCTCTCCTAATCAGCCAGAGGGGGGTTCTGTGGACGACTGAATAAACTCTTTATGATCATATTGTTGAAGAGGAGGAGCCTGATGTGCTGCCGAAGCACACGAAGGGCGGGAGTTACAGTCCGAAACAGGAAGGATACCTGTTTCCTGTTATGGGCACATCTCCTCGTCCCCTCCCGTCCAATCACAAGAGTTTCACAGGGTGATTGAGCAGAAATATTTCGGACTGTGTGTGTATGAGTGTGCATCTGTTCAAAGACTTTACCCGTTGTGCTTTCTGCACAAAACATGCACATAAGAAGACGTTTCCTTTTCTTCTATCATAGTCCTAGCTTTAGTTGAGACATAGTTGTCCCGCCCCTGCTATATTTACTCAAACATTAACCTTCCCCTTGCTTGCTCTCCTTCTTCTGCCCTCACTCTCATCCTTTTCACGCACCTCAAGCCTAGGTCAGAGTACAAGACAAAATTACCTGAAATATGCAGCACAGTTACATTTTCTGACTAATCTGCTCATGTACACATATGTTAAAAAACAATAACACAGCAACCAACTTCTTTTAAATAGTGACTAATCTGCAGATTATTTCTTTAAGTAATCATGAATCTTTTGGTCTATAAAAGAGCGAAAATGGTTTGCAACTCACTGATTCACATTTGAGAAGAAATGTAGTAACAATCTAAATAGTTGCAGATTTTTTTTGAATGATACACCAGTTAATCAAACTGTCTTTCAGCTCTACATACAGCATCTTATTAAGACTTACATTTTAATTTGCCAGAACTGTTTACTTTTTAGTAAAAATCCCTTATTTTATTCTCTGTGGTTCGAAAATTACAGTTAATGTTTACAAAACAAATTGAGTTTTAAGTGAACAACTTTAAAAGTTAAAGATAACAAATCATTTTATATTAAAAAGCTTCATTTTTTATTGCACGCTTATGTAGATTGGTGCAGGCACACTTTATTAGAGAATTATTGCTCCAAAAATTCTAATTGTACAGCAACTTGTTGAATCTTATTGTCTTCTAACAGAGTGGATGTTTTTTTTTTTTAAATATGACCCTTTTCGTACCTCTTAACTAACAGTATTTTTTCCGGTATAATCAAACATGGACATTTTGTGACATTTAAGAAGCCTCCCCCTCCTGAATCCATCGAGTCAGAAAAATCTATTTGCGCTTAGAGCCTCTTAGTTAGAGTAGTGTGACCTCAGCTTAGTAGTTTCTACCTCTCTTTTTCCTGATCCCACCCATTCGAATGTTCAGTCAGCTTAGTTTCTCACCCCCTTCACTTTCCTTTTATCCGTCTTAGTATTCTCAGGGTAGAGGTAGTTCAGACGCAGGTGAGTATGACGCATGTGATCACAGGTCTGCAGTTAGATTGCCCCCTTGTTGTCTGAATCTGGAGCTGGCCCGTCTCGCCTGACGTTTGAAGAGATTTTATTGCTCGGGTCTAAGGGTGAAATTCAGTAAGAAACAGAAGGGCTTATTCAGGTGATATAACGGTGTGTACAACTTTGTAGAAACAAGGCTAAGATTATATTTTATTAACAAAGCGGCAATGATATGAAAACTACAAAGGTGAATTTCTACATGTCTGAATGTCAATTTATCTGCTGATGATGGCGGCAATGAAGATGATTGATTATGATATCAGTGTAATGGGATGCTGATTTTAAAGATGACGATGATAATCCTGACTCTGGGTGATGCAAATGTTCATAATATAGTATAATGTTCCTGTAGGATGAAAGCAGTGAATGATGGTAAGTTCACCTGCAGTAACATGACTGGACAGTGTTGGAATAAAACCACTTCCTGTCTGACTTTTATTTGACTCCATAACAATCCTTATACACTTTTCACCCTTTCTATCTAAGGTTTAAAAACACAAGATCTAGGTGTCCTGCGGGGACTTAGAAAGTATTGAAAGTTGATCAAACTGTTTAGTGTTAATTAAACCATGGTGAAGTCTCAGGTTGGATATTCGACATGGATTCATCCTGAGGCAAGCAGCATCTTCTTACTCAGGTTGGCAGTCAGAGGATGCTAAACATACATCCAAGACGTTATGACTCATAACCAAAGAGTTTTGCTTAGGGACCATCAATAAATGATCATTTAAATGACACAATGTCTATTTTACTTTCAAAACCTCTGTGCCCACATGTTATGGAAGAGACTGAAACGAAATTGGACCTGGTCATGCTGAGTTTACATTAACATATTTATATATAATAGCCTAAAATCCATAAATTGAGTTGTAAAATGGTCCTGTCTAGAAATACGATGCCACATTGATGCCAGATATTGAAAGGAATCAATGTTTTTTATTAACAAACCAAAGAGTTATAACAACAATATTCACATAAAAAAAGAAGCATTAGAACCCCATTGTAAGAAGTGTGTTTTATTTGTCCAGTATACATGTACAATGCTGTATTGATTTGGAGTCACATGGTCAACAACGATTGTTTTTCTTTTAAATCTGATATTTTATGACCTGTCTATTTTTTATTTTACTATCTTTGTGAAGCACTTTGTTACTTGAAATTTTAAAAAGTGCTATACTAAATAAGATGTTTTACAATCAAAAAAGGATATATCTGCATATACCCTGTTAATGTCTTTCATCATAAATCGCTTAATCCAAAAGTTCTTTAGGGTTAATTACTAAAAATAGCTTGCGTACCCTTGTCAGGGTCCTCCAGCAGATGTTGAGTAATATATAAAACACATACTTGGATCTGGGTGTCAATACATAAGCATATTAAAATGAGTTGCTCGCATTGCAAGAAGCAAAGATGACATTATTTAAAGATTACAGGAACAAAGGCAGACTCACAGCTCTGATAGCGGTGGTGGATAGATTTTATTTTTACATAATTAATTTGACCACTTCATCATATCACAATAAAATATTGAATCACATGAATATTTAACACTGAAACCGTACAGCATTCAGAATGCATTAAGCTGTCTTGCCTTTATTTTCTTGCCAAGAAAATATAAGGATTTCTGCCGCCCCTCGCTCATATCCAAGCAGTCTATTTGTCAAGCTGCCTGCCTTTCTTGAAACAGCCAATCAAGTGCCACATGTCTGCAGGGCAGCTTCTGATTGGGCGGACTGACTGAGTAGTAAACAGCAGCTACACAGCTTCACTGTCCTCAATACTTCCTTCACTAAATACTTTGTATCCCTTCATAAGGCAGATGAAGCATCATCACTGATCTACATCTAACGTTACTCTGCACCTCGCCATATGAACATGCAGTCAGGGTGTGTGTGTGTGTGTGTGTGTGTGTGTGTGTGTGCCTCTGCCTCCAGGTGTGTATACTTTTGGGTTTCCAGGTGTTTATATCCAGTGGTGAGTGAGTACAGCTGTGTTTCCGTGCATCTATATCTGTATGTGTGAGTGTGTGTGCATTAACAGAAGACAGTATTCTCGACACACAGAGTTACAACTATCTAAGCTGAGCCAGCAGTTGCCATGGTGAAAATAGCTCATACATCGTCACATGACCCTAAATCTCGCCAATCCCATGAGAGGGTGGAAAACCATTTATCAGCGAGGCAGGAAGTAGTCCGTGCCCGCGTTGTACGCATGGGTGTATGGTCGTACGCAGTGTCACTCAACACACACCTCTGTTTGTCTGTCTCTAGAAGGCAGGGGCCACAGGTCTCTGCTGTGTGAGCTTCTGGGGGTCCAGGGTCTCAGTGAAGGGCGGAGCCTGATAGGGGTTAGTGGTTACTATGGTAGCTCCGTTTGCGATAGGGTACGGTGTGGCTCGAGCGCTGCCAGCGGGAGGCTCCAGGTGTTGCCATGTGAACAAGTTTCTGTTGCTTCCGGTTAAGAAGCGCCGCAGTGCGCTCAGGGTCAATACAGCCTGTTAGTAACACACACACACAACACACACACACCACACAACACACACACACACACACACACACACACACACACGCACACACACACACCACACACACACACACACACACACACACACACACACACACACACACACACACATAAACACACACATTATTAGAGGATGTTAGTTACACATTGATTTGTATTAGAAGCACATCATTATATATTATTATTTATTATGTATGTAGATTTTGTGTTTTTGAGAAATGCGAGAATGTATACCAGATTAGCAAGATTTTCAAATATGAGACATGTATCCACAGGACAAACTTAATCAGACTGCATTGCAGCTCTACAGACCGGGAGCAAATACAATTATAAACCAGTTGGATAAAATCATTACAAATGATAGCAAGTGAGTGAGGACAGTTGGAAGAGCTCATATACATTTACTGTAGAAAAAATATATATACATTCATTGTAATTCAATCAACGGTAGCTCAGACTTCAGACATGGAGTCATGATTGATACAGTCATGAGAGGAAGACATATGGCTTGAGTTTACTTCAATGTGAAGGTCTGCTGCTAATGGCACACAATTTAATCAATTTAGGGGGCAGTGTAGAGTACAAAAATAATGAAAATGTAGTTTGCAGTATGTTAGTATGGGATTCTGAACACAACCTTAGAGTCTACAATTGTTAATTAGCACTCAAACAGAAAGCTGAGGCTGACAGGAATGTAATTACTTTTGGTGATAAAACAAAGTCACGAAAAAATGGTCTGATGATGGCAGAGATGAAACGTCAGAGGTTTTTACCAAAGTCACTAGGATTCATCCTCTAAAGACTATGAATCTCTGTATAAGACTTAATGGCAATCAATCCAACAGTTTTCATTTGCAAAATCAGGAGACTCAAGAAGCAAATTCAAAAGGGCATCCAAACGGCTCTCAAAATGCTATACATCCTCTTCGGAAGAATATTGAAAAGATTTGCCGCAGAACTATTGGGTTAAAAATAGTCTTTTGTGACATACTGTACATCCCTGAAACAATTACAGTTCAACCTCTCCACATCCTCTGACAGTGAGATGAATGGCTGCTATTGGTTTGGTGGTCAAACTGTTTTAACAAGCTCTATTGAGTTGTCAATGGATAATAAATCAGTCTGCAATGTTCTCTGGGATATTTCTAAACTTTCTATTCAAATCTCGCTGAGGGCAGCTCTTTTATAAGAACACCCTGTCCCCACAGTATCCCACTGTCACGCCTGGAAACTGTCACAGTCTGACCTGCTGGCTACTGAGCAGCTTAAGGGCCTTGCTCACGGGCAGCTTTATGGTCGTAATGGAGGACATGAAAGAAGCACTGCTTTTACACTTTGCCCACAAAATGTATCCTGCTGGTCAGTGGATCAAACTCTAGAAACTATAAACGTTAGGGCACCACTGACCCACACAGTTATGACCATGGTTGGTTATAATAAAGACAAGGTAACTACTTGTTTTCACTTCTCTTCTCCTAGCAGAATTGAATTGAAAAATAACATAATTCAGTTGTTGAAGCCCTACTCTGAATTTGCCAGTTATACTACTTAACTACTATCACTGAAGTAAACGTGACTCTGTGAATGTGTGTGTGTGTGTGTGTTAGGCTAGAGAGTGGGTGGTAGGGCTCTTTGGTAGGAGCCTCTGCTTGTCCTCCATGAAGGAAATGCTCTTAAATGTGTTCATTGCCAGCAGACACTGATAACCCTGAAATACACACAGATACACACAAACATGATGATGATGATGAATACATTCACACATGTATGAAAAGAGAGATGAAAGGTTTAACACACACAGGTATAAGCATACAGACCCAGGTCAGGATGGAGAAGAAGCAGAAAGCGATGGTGGCTCTGGCGGCGTCGGAGCCTTGGGCCAATGGCAGCTCGTCTGGAGAGGTAGCCTGCCACTGATTGGCCAGAAAACAGAAGCCAACAAACCACAGGAAGCTGGCAAAACCTGAAGGTGTAAACACGGGGGTACTACCATAAGTACCAACATTTAAAGTAGGGTACTATTCATGTAGGCTTGCTCATTACTACATTATTGGACTACACATATTGATACAATAACATGAAGAAAAGTATTTATTTTAGCATGACATAATTCTTGTTTCTTTGAAAGGCTTCATATAATTTGAAACAATCTAACAAATATAAAAAGCTTAAAATCTGCAAATGTTTCACACATGTCTAATGTACTTCTAACACATTTCTCTTGTTTTGTTCATTTACATAACAATGATTAAACAAGTTAAAAAAGGTGTCAAATCATTCCAAGGGACCCAAACTAAGTATACAGTGGTAAAAGAAAGGAAAATACTGAAGTACAAGAATCTTAAACTTGCACTTAAGTAAAACACTTCAGTACATGTACTTAGTAACTTTCCCCCCGCTGTATTTGTGTGCGTATATTTACCAGAGAAGACGAGGTCCAGCAGGACAGCCCGCCTTCTGTCCTTGACGCTGCTGATGGAGGGGAAGTAAACGTCCAGGATCAGGAAAAAGATGCTTCCGAGGAAACAGAGCACGCCTATGGTAACACCAAAGTTACAGGCGTCAGCGTTGTTGTTGAAGACGCAGAGCAAACGCTCGCTACCGATGTTGATGTAGCCCTCGTTCACGATGCAGCTGAACACCACCATGGAGAAGACCTGCAGGGGAGACACGTGAGGGTCTTTATTATTGTAACAGGAGGAAGAGAATGAACTCACACTGCTCTATGAATGACTTTCATTCCTCATACACGCCACACATCTCACACACCATAGACAAACTCTGGTCCTTTTCAAGTGTGTGTGAGTGAGTCAAAAATGCAGTTTTTCTCTCTAACAGATAGATTTAAAGGGGAAGTTCACCCAAATGTTATTTAAAAAATGTATTCCCCCAGTAATTGGCAACGTTTTACTGATTTTGGATTCATTGTAAGCTGGCTGCAAATGTTCATTCAGTTTGGTGAAGTAGAGATTACCCAGAATTTGTTAAAGGGTAATTTCACCTAAATTACAAAACATTTTGCCACATTCAATTATATAAAGGCTAACACACAGTTTCTGCTTTATTTACAGAAACGTTAAGATACCCGTCTTAAAAAACAAAGTTTAGTTACTGTGGATAATCCACAGAGCATAATATCAGTAGTTATTAGAAACAGTATTTTGCATAGAAAATAGAGAAAACTCTTACAGTAGTTGTGATTTGTGGATCATCCTAACGTAATATTGACATTTTACTTCTACATATTTCAATAAAAGATCAATTAATTTTTCCAGCAAAACATTTCCATCACACTGCTTGCCGTTGTCTTATGTGATGATAACATTACTATTTTGGGGTTTTGGTTTAACATTATAAGCTATTTGTTGATCATCACCTTTGGATCCAGGACATTTTGGGTCATTTTTCACTATTTCCCATACATAAATTAATTTCAATGTCTTATTGTCACACAATTAATTGCACTGATTGGATCTGTAATATGTTTGTTTTTTCTTATCTGAATGCTTCCACTCAACTTGATTTTGTTTGCTAAGGACACATTGGCTATGACAAACCATTGTGAACAGAATTGAGACAAAGAAGAAAGATGGTTTATTGTGTGCTTCTGTTTTCTTGCTTTGTCTCCTTTAAAACCTAATTGATCCTTCAGTGCACATTAAACGCTGTGTGGTGACTCACATCTGCACAGTATCACAGACAGCAGCGAGAGACACAGAGAGGTGTTACATTCTGGTTAGAGGGCATTCAAATCCAAAGCGTTCACATCTAGACACAAAGAGGCTCCAGATAAACATATGGTAATCTAACGCTGCTCCTGGAGCTCCAGCTACAAGCTGCATCACTGAAATCATTTTTTATTTATCAGACAGACCCGGCACAGAGATTCAAAATACGACAATACTAAGCATTTTATTTAAAATACATAGGCCTACTAATGTATATCAATAATAACCTGATAAAAGACACCAAAGCACAGAGCGAGAGACGGAGACATTGTGAATGGGAGACAGCGTTGGGAGGGGGGTGCAGGTAACGATAGGCCTGTCCATTGATGGCAACCCACACGCTGCAGAGAAGGCTTACTTACCCACGACATCAGTCTGAGCACTGTCCGGGGATGCGTGAAGAATGCGACCGGATCGAAGGCGACGCTGCCGGCCTTACCGGCTCCGTACGCGCCCGCTGACTCCATCCCTCCGGCTTAGTGCAGCCTGGCGCCCGCAGAGAGAAGCAGAGGAGTCGGTGCGAGCTGCGCGAAGCGTGCTGCTCAGCCTCCGAGTGAAGTCACACCGCGTCACCGGAGCACAGACCGCAGAACACACTGGCAATTACCATTATGGGTTTTTATTCAATTCTGACCATTGCTTTGTGTTCAACCTTGTTTCATTTATTGTTTTTTTTTAGTTTATGTTTTTTTTTTTTAAAATACTGTTTTGAAAGGAAGACGCCCCCTACAAGTGGATAGATAGCCTATTACATGCTTGCAAATTCATAATGCAAACCAAAGTTCCACAAACCTGTTTAATGTTATAATTACAGAACGGCGAGTTCGATAGACTATTAATTAACATTGATTCATTCTCAGTGGAACCATATCTTCATAATGTTATCTTCTTAATTTGTTTAACAGAATAATCTCGTGCAAATTGAAGATTTTACGCAAAACTTGTCATTCAAATTGATTGACTTTTTGCTTTATGAAGAGATCTGTCTGTCCAATGGTGAAGCAGCATGGCTGTGTCAGTGGGCATAACCCCAGTGACTTCCTTTTACAGTGACGTCAGGTGCAGAGCATCTATAGGCTTAATTTTGTACAATGAAAGAATACCATTAATGTCAACGTTTTGTGTGTATATAATGTATGATGTTATATTTTTTATATTTTCTTGAATCCAATAAAATCTTAAACATCAGAGCTATGAACTGAAGCATTTATTTTTATTTTTATTGTATCTTCAATGACAGCTTGGTACATAAAACTGATTTGTGTTCAGAGAGTACTGACTAAAAGGTATCAGACAATCACAAGCACGCGAGCACATGCACACACACACACACACACACACACACACACACACACACAACACACACACACACACACACACACACACACACACACACACACACACACACACACACACACACGCACGCACACACCACACACACAACACACACACACACACACACACACCACACACACACACACACACACACACACACACACACACACACACTACTCTCTTTGTTTCTGTATTAAAGCTCGTCTTTAGTTTGGTTGGCTTGTTTTGCCTCTTCAGCTTTTGCGGCCTCAATGTACTTCCTCCTGTCCTCATCCTCCTGGAAACACAAAGAAAATAAGTGAATTTTTAACTTGGATTAAAAAAGAAAAAAGGCAGCTTCTTAAACTCCGCACAAACAACTGCAGTGATGTTGCTGGTGTTTTTGGGGTGATATTTTACCTTCACTCTGTCTTTTTTGGCTTTCTTCATCTCTTTATCTAAAAACTTCAGCAGGTCCTTTACCTTCCTCTTACCGTTGTAAACCACCACCTGACAGTAAAAACAGACATCATACACTGAACATTTGTACGTCTATATATGTCATGTTTTCCCCACAGAGCAGAGATAACTTATACAATCCCATATCGTTCATAAGTCATTTTAATTTAAGTGCCTTTTTATGCAGAGGACACAAAGCGAAATATTACAATATACTGCATATCCCTCCTCATTTACACACTAAACAGGATGTTTAGGTCACACATGTGTACTGTCAAATGCTCCAATTTATATATTGAAACAGAGTTGATGATTATATTTGGCACAGAAATATTTTTGAATTGGGACAAACTTATTTTTGGGCGACAACATTCAACATCCACAAATATACAAGCACATATTTATTTGGAAAAGGGAGTGTGGCTGCTAGAAAAAATCAATTACAAAGAGATAATCCAGGTCTGATATAACTAAAAATGACAATGTGAACTGCTGCTGTTTGATCCAATAAAATATACGATTCATAAGAAATTACACAAAAATATAATTGACTCACCCGTTCAGTATGTAGAGCAGGGAACAGGCAGAGGGATGGGTAGGCGCCCTGCATTGACATGTCGATGTCATTGGCTGAGGCATCGATGCGAGCGACGACCACGTCCTCTCGCTCCTTCAAGGCCTCGGCCAACTCCTCCCACAGTGGAAACAGAGCGTGGGACTCAGGACTGTAGGGAAGATCTGAATCACACATTTAATTATTATAAAGACATTTCTAGGAAGTGTCAAGTTAGATCAGCTTAAAGAAAACAACAAAAAACAGCAGATGATAAAAAGCAGTGTGATCCCGTAGGCATGGATTTGATGATTCCAAGATCAAATTACTTCAAGGGGTCAAGTGATTATTTTTAAACCTACATTACCTAAAAGTTATTCTGGCAAATGTGTTAGAAAGCAGTTTAATATGCACAGTACCCTTTCTGCAGATATAAAAAAACATAACCCTTCATTAGGAGTCGTGATTCTGGCCACCCTCTGAATGTAAGTCAAGTGTTCGCCCTTCTTTTGGCTCTGTTTTTGGTCTCTCCCATCTCTTGAGTTAACAGCTAAATGCTCCATTACGAGTTATTTGCTGATCTGACAACACATTTATAGGAACTGTTAACAACTACAAGGTAGAAAAAGTGTTAATAAAAGTAAATCGAACTCTACGAATCAAAAATAAGCTGAAAGACACTGAAACCCTCATAGAGCTCATTGTAACTTGATAATATAAAATGTTGAATACTCCAGCTGATGTTAAATGTACTTACATGTAAGCTAAATGTTCCACTTTTGAACCTCATTAAGCTTAGTATTAAGTATCTAAGTGTCTTTTTACCCGTACATATCTAAAAGTCCAAGTTTACTGGATAGTTTTTAACTAAGAAGGTTTTCTTACGTACAGAACATGACGAAAACAGTGTTGTCAGGGTTAAAGCCCACTTTCTCCAGAGTCATTCCCACCAGCTCCTTCACCGGCTGTGTGTCCCATCCTTCAGGTATCGGCTCACTCTGCATCTTAGGCTGTTTACATCAACACAAACACATTTAAATCCCAACACTGTTTCCTTCAGTGTCCATGTATCACACACCAGGTGAGGTTGAAAGTTACCTTAGCCTTGCCGTCTAGGTAGGACTGGCAGAACGTTTTTATGGTCTGTACATCCAGAGTGTCAGAAGGCAGGTGATAGGTCACATGGTCTGTAAGGTTGACCATCCGTATGAGAGGAGCCTCAAACTCCCGAACATGGAAGTACTCCATCAGCCTGCCGTTACGAGGCTCATCCACGTTCACCCACACAAACAACATCTGAATAAAAACACACGCAGAGGTGAAGTACTGCTTCTTCTCATGTGCTGATGTTAATAATGTGTTTGGTTTCTACCTTTAACCTGAATGCTTCTGCAGCGCTGTTAAAAGCAGAGTGGATCTCTTTAAAGTCAGCAGAGCTCGTGTTGACGAACAGGAGGGCATGGTTTAACACAGGTGAGGATAGTATCTGAGTGGATGTCTGCAAGAGAGAGAATAGCATAAATACATCAGCATTAACAATATATGGTTATGTGGTTTTTCATAACAAATGAATGAATAGAACGCCACAAAATGTCTACTTTTAATTTTAATTTGTGTCTTGTTTTTTAATGTTATTCCTATCAAGTTACATTACACTTCTTATATAGGCAAAATAACACTACTTGGTTACCAACACCAAAAATGTCTTGTTTGTTTGTTGATTTTGATGTGGAATACAATGTGCAAAAATATCAAATTATTAAAATAAATCAAAATTTCGATTTAAAAAATGACAGTCTTTGTTATTTTGGAATTACCCATTATTCTTTTTTAAAATATACTTTTCATCCTATTGTACTGTTCCAATCTCACGGATGGGTTGTATTTTTAGGATGCAGTTCAAACAACAAAATCCACAAAATAAAGTGAAAGGTCTGGCCCTGTACTGGAAAAAAGACATAAATGAACTTCAGATTTTCAACCTAAATAGATAGTTGAACCTGCAGACCAACATTTTAACAAATAACATAGGACCGTCAATGGATACATATAATGCAGTAACACACAACAGAGAGTTTAAATAAAAAATAAAAAGCCTAGAGAACATTTCCAGACCTGGGAGTAGAGCAGTTCGACAGTGTGAAAATGATGCCATGCGTCTAATACTCTACCTGTCCGGTGTACTCAGTGGCAGGCTCCATCTGGTAGACGGTGATAAAAATGATCAGCATCTCTTTAGATGTCTCAGGCATCATTTTGTAAGCCTGGATGAGCTTAGACTGCAGCAGACACACACACAACCACAACCACAAACACACACACACACACACACACACACACACACACACACACACACACACACACACACACACACACACACCACACACACACACACACACATACAACCACAACCACAAACACACAACACACACACACACACACACACACACACACACACACACACAACACACACACACACACACACACACACACACACACACACACACACACACACACACACACACACACACACACACACACACACACACACACACACACATGGGTAAGAATGCAATGAAATGAATGTGTTCAGCTTGATATGATAGGTTAATTATTTAAATCCCATCTTTTGCATCCAAAAATAAAACAGAGAGACACAGACCTATGCAGCTGTATTTCAGGGGTTAGTGTCTAGGTTGTGTTTAAAGTACCTTTTTGAACAGCAGTACAACATCATGTGTGAGACCATATTTGCTGATAACGTCATTGTTCTGTGTCACAGCAAAGTTAATGTCAGGAAGGTCGGTCGCTGCAGCGTAAAACATCTGGACGTACTCGCTGTTCAGCTCCTACACACACATTCAAAACACACACTTTGTTAGTCAGACAGTTGGATAACAGTCATGACTCAAATGGGAAGCTGGTAAATCAAAGCGATGTTTTTTACCTTGAAGAATCCAACCACCGTCAGCTCCTCTGAGGCCTCTGATTGGCTAAGATCAGAGATGAGGTCATCAGCAGACCCAGAGCGCCTCTTCAGCCAGGTCAAGATAGAGGCCGAGCTCTGAGGAACTTCATCACAATCACAAATCATTTTAAGGTTAATATGAAATAACAATGCCTAGAGCCGGTTACTATGGCCAAACAAACAAAGAAAAGAGATATGACTGCAGATGAAAAAACATAGAATAAAAGTGGTACTGTACAGGCACATTATCATAAGAAGAAATCACTGCAATCACAACCCTGTTAGTTCCTAATTAACCCTTGCTTATCTTATATAGGCTTAGCTAATATCAATGTATCTACACTCAGTATTAAGGACTTTATTTGGACGTACCAGGACAGGGTACAGGGTTGAGTTTATCTCCAGAAATGTAAAGCAGGATTGTGGCGAAGCCCGTCACGTTGAGTTCTTTGGCCAGCTCTTTCTCTTTTGCCACATCCACTACAGCCAGTTTGACCTCTGACCCCTTCAGCTCTGCAGCAGCACCTTCAAACGCTGCTGAGATACGATGGCCTTCTCCAGACAGAGGAGCGTCTACACACACAGGAACAGAGACACAGAAGAAAGATTGATGGCAAATATTGCACTTTTGACTTGTTCATAAAACTAAAACCAAGAATAAGACATAAATGCATCGATAATTTAATGATATAACATTAAGTTGAATCTGTAATAGGCTATTCTGCTAAATTACTTATTTAAATGCTGGTACTTCGAGTATATTTTGATACAAATACTTTAATATTTTTGAATGGAGGATTTTTTCACTGAGATAAAGATACTTATAATGAAATATCTGGGTACTCATTCCACCACTGACACAGTAAGAGTCAAATGCCATGATATACTGCAGTTTTGACCTTGAGTGTTGCCTGAAGACAGTTACAAAACATTTAGTGGGTGTAATTTTAATGCTAACAGCCTTTATAAACATATAGGTCAAGATCAAGCTGCGTGAGTCTTTGTGTGGGACTTACAGAAGTGCACCAGCAGCTGCTTATATTTCCTCAGTACCCTGTTGAAATTCCCTTTATTCAGCCGTAGAACGCCATCCTCCTTCAGGGATGATTTGTCTGCCTGTCGGTTGGGTTGTTCGTCAGCGGCGACAAACGCACAGAGACAGAAGGCCGTCAGCCCGAGCAGCAGCAACAGTTTCCTCATGGCGCTTCACCTACAGACTGACACATTGGACACTGGAGACAATCTTTACAGGGAAGGTAAGAAGGGAGTGGTGGAATAAAATTGTGTGTGTGTGTGTGTGTGTGTGTGTGTGTGTGTGTGTGTGTGTGTGTGTGTGTGTGTGTGTGTGTGTGTGTGTGTGTGTGTGTGTGTGTGTGTGTGTGTGTGTGTGTGCGTGTGTGTGCGCGTGCATGCGTGTGTGTCAGTGCTGAGCTGGTAGATGTGAATGCTATTGTTATCTGCCGACTAGACCCACCACCAGTCTGTAGCTGATTAACTTCCCTATCTGAGCCCTGCTGTATCCCTGCTATTGGCTGCTTTTCATATCAAGTGTATCACTAATATCTAGATGCCCTTTGCCTAACCCTGTTAGCCTCGGCAAGGTCAGAATGGAAGCACACACACTCACCATACACACACACACACATCATGCAAAAATCACCACAAATGATACAATAATAACAACTTAACAGCTTTGGAGTAGTAACTGAGACCATTTTTTATTTCCTTATCAACATGATAGGATCATACGTAATAAAATAACAATATTTAAAAAAAAGTTGTCAGGGTTGCTGAGCATGACACATCATTACAAGAGGTAAAGCAGGTGTGTTGATCAGTCCTGCATTAGAGTGCATAGATTCAACAGCAGAGGCAGCACACATACAGTTGCAAGAAAAAGTATGTGAACCCTTTGGATTCTCCACACATAGCGTTGTGTGTTCCTTCCAAACAACTCAACTTTGGTTTCATCTGTCCACAGAATATTTTGCCAGCACCCAGGTGCTCTTTTGCAAACTTCAAACGTGCAGCAATGTTTGTTTTTTTAAAACATGAAAACATATAATTGTTTGTGTGGTATTAATTTAAGCAGACTGTGTTTGTCTATTGTTGTGACTTAGATGAAGATCAGAACACATTTTATGACCAATTTATGCAGAAATCCAGGTAATTTCAAAGGGTTCACATACTTTTTCTTGCAACTGTATCCTTCAACCACAATCGACAACTTGTTTTCTGCACCTGGTATTCACATCAAGTCGATATGATTGTACATCAAGTCTTTATGAGTCATAGTTCACAGTACCACAAATGACTCCATGATTCACTTTCTTGCAGAGGATTTCATGGGGAAATTGACAGCTAACTCTCATTAGTTTTTGTCTGGTAAAGACATAGCTCAGAGAACATAGTGCACAAAAATGAAAGTATAAATTGTACGACTCTTCTGACAAATCGATGTGGCAATTTAATCGACAGATCTGTAAAACTGAGATTCTCCACAAAGAATCGTCCAAAAGCACAACGTAAATCTTTTGTGTACCAGACATATGCTTATATGTTTCTTCGAAATAAGTCACATTCAGGATCAAAAAACGAATCAACCTATGAAATATCAGTCAAATATAACCGAAGGACAAATTGGTTGACTGATAAACTAAGACGAGGCAGCCTTTAGGAGATGGTTTTCCAATCTTCAAGACAGAAAACAGCTAGCTAGGCTCTGTCGAAAGGTAAGTACACGACTGAAAAGCTTTTGTGTTTCTCAGCTTCTAATAATACAAATTAGGAACCTGTCTTTATGAGTAAACTTGTAATGGTGTAAACATTTTTTTTTAGTGTAGCCAAAAAGTATTCTTTGATATTGTCTTGTGTATTAAAAGTTCTGTCATTACTTTGAGTTGCAGCAGTTTGCAGTCCTGTGTTAATGTTTGACAAAAGATTAAAGGCCCTGCACACAGAGTGTTCACTCATTCCCTGTCCTAATAAGAAGAATAAAGCTTTATACTTTTGAGTTTTTACTGCCTTAAATGTTGAAGGCAATCGTCTGTGTGGGTTTATCTCAGATGTGCAGGACCTTTAGAAGAACAATTAAGCAGTACAATATTGTAGCATTTTAAGTACATTTGTGTTTTCTAATATGCTTTGTTTGCTTTAAAAAACAAATCATGGCGTTCAAGTCAGGACAAGCCATCTCCTTCATCTCTAAAGTAAACATTAATTTAAGCTATATTTACATTTAACAAACTCATATAACAAATATGTAGTTATTTTGGTATTTAAATGAAGGAAATACATTTATCAAACATGTTAAAATAAAATATAAAAATGGTTGATGTACCTGACGTCCTCTTTGTCATCATTAATATCTTTAATATCTTTATTAAGTCTTTTGTCTGCACTCTGTAATGTTGTAAACTTCTAAACACGTTAAAATGGTCAAATTAAAAACATAAATACATTCTTACAAGGGTTCTTGTCTACTTTTTACGTACAATAAATTCTTGTGTGCTGTGCCCTCAAAAAAAACAATATATATATCTCAAAGTAGGACAATATTAGAAACTGAAAATTAAACATTTTGGTACAAAGTAATGATTATGGGAGCCCTGAGAGGCAAGAGAGGGAAACAAATCTGGTGATTCGTTTTAAAGTTTGGGCTAAAATAATTTCTCCCTTGTGTTTATGACGTAAGTGGAAAGGCTTTGCCGGGATGATCTTTCTCTGTTCCATTTCTTCCTGCATCAAAAGTTTGCCAGGAGAAAAAACTTTGTATTTAAAATGTCACCAGGATAATTTCTCTAGGTGATGTTTTCATAGTAAAAGGTTCCATGTCAACACTTAATAGATGTACAATGAGTTTAGACAAAATAAATAAATAATCCCATTTACAATATCGGGTAGTGATGCCTCTTGTGACACAAAAAAATATATCAACGGAATTATTGTTCTCACTTGCCTCTCAGTGCTTCCGTAAATACTGACCTCCTGAGGGTTTGAATATGGCAATATGGTCCTTTATAGAGAAAAGCAGTGGTGAGTTTGAATTTCTGTAGATTCAAACTGTGTCAAAGTTTCATAGCCAAACATTTTTAATGAAAAAGTCTATAGAAACTTCTCAAACAGCAAAGCCACTCGTCGGTCCATCCCTATCTTCATTTAGTTATGTATATACCTTTTAAACCTCATATGTGATGATAAGGCAGGGACGTAAGAGTCTATTCTGCTCCCAAATCTACTCTTTCTCCCCTGCGTAGGTCGGGAGGTGTTTTTATTCCTAGACGAATATTATTTATCCGTGTTGTGGGATAAATATTCTATGAGTGGTATTAACAGAGGTGCCTTACTAATCCTGACAGTGTCATCTTGTGTACGTGTGCAGCTCGTTTCCACACTGTGGGCAGGAATGATGTGCATCTTGTAGGCTTTTTATAGTTAATGGAATCAGACAGCAGCCACAGATTAACCTGAAACACAAACAAACATGCAGGGACACAACACACAGTCACGTGTTAAAGCTGGTTTAGCATTTTGGAGCTGAATACTCATGAAAGTGTGCGTTTATGTCTCACCCCATCATGGTGAAAAGGAAACACATGCACCATGCGGTGCTCCCAGGCAGGTAGGAGACTTTAGTGGTGACGACGTGGTGGCAGTGAGGGCAGCGCACCACACCAGGCACGTCTCCCAGATGTGTCACTGAGATGGGAACAGGAAGCGGCTGGGTCGTCACGACGACGGGCTGAGAACGTCTCCCGCCGACAGACTGTGTTACACCAACTGGCATTCAGAGAATAAAGGGAGGACAGGGGAGGACGTCAGGGAGAACCGTAATATTAAATATTATATCTCCACGCTCAAGAAGAAAAGTAAAAATGTGGCTCTCATACTTTGTGTAACTGGGTGGGTTATGACTCCAGTGTTTCTTGTCCTCCTAGGATTTGGCAGTGTCAGGACAGGAAAAGGATCTGGCTGGATTGTAACTACAAAATCATAAAGAATTATAATTAAACAACAGCTTGCTCCCCCCAAAACAGAGCTTTACCAAAGACTCCCTCATATACATCTCTAAACTCACCAGTAGGGTAAAAATACAACTTTTAGCTGCTTCCAAATGTCTCTGCGACACTCATTTGAAATGCTAATGCAGCCAAACACACAGCAGTTGTTGTCATTAATCTTTGTGTACTCTGGTAAACATGCGGGCTGGTAAATATAGGGCTGCAATTAAATATATTTGTCATAATTGTTCGGTTCTCTGACAACAAAAACAGAAAAAACAAAGAAAAATCTTTGCTTTGTATTTCCCTTTTAAATGTTGATAGTGTCAGCTTAAAAAAAACCTTTCCACCCCCTAATGCTCTCGGTTATCACCTACTGTTATAGAAGTTTCAGATTCATCCATCTTGCAAACTGTTAACAGAAATATCAGTTTATGGGTGAAAAATACCCAGGTTTACGCCATACCGAGACAGGGAAACAATAAGACGTATTTTTTAATTTAGCATGGACATTAAGTGTGGATGTATTCTCTGTGCCACATGATGAAGTGTGACAGAAATAAGGAACGAGAGAAATTAGAGGTGTAATCTTACCTGCTTCTCCATAAGTGGGAGGAGGTGTTGGGGGGTAATAGTGGGAGGCGTTGTAGGAGGGGGGAGGGGTGACGTTGAATGCAGCTGTGCTCAGAGCAGGAGGGTGGAGACGGGACTCCTCATACGAAGGGGGTTCCATCAGCAGATCATCGAGTCAAACAGGAAGCTAGCAACAAACAGAAACAGCAGATAACGCTTACTGCTGGTGTTGAGTTCAGTAAAACCTTTATATTGCATCATTTCCTTTTTACTGAAGTTAAAGCCCTTGTCACACTGTCCCGAAATTGACACCCGATGGACACACGAATATGGAATTGTGAATTTCGCACGAAGATGGCCCCGAACCACACACGAAGGCAACATTTACATTACATTTAAGACATACAACTGCAACGAAAGTAACACAAACAATTGTGTTACAGTACTATGATACTGTACTGATATCTTCAGACTTTGTTCTTTACTTTATCCGTCTTTATATGTAGAAGATATTAAGTTTTCTCCGTCATGTTGTTTCCATAGCAACAACAACTTTCTGTCAACTCGCCTTCAAAATAATATATTATATCCTTTTTAGTTTCACAGAACACAAATTGGGTTATTTACATAATATGTTTACATGATTTTGTTGTGCAATTAAAGAGAGGCGAAGGGCTTTTATTTGAATTTGGGCTGTTTTGGGTTCTTACAAGCTTAATTTTGGTCGAAGTTTTTCCCAGAAGGTTCAGGCGTATCTCTCAGCAACCATTAGTAATTTGCTCAGTTGTCATCAATACAATTTAGCTGTCAAGAGACTCAATTCATACGGGAAACAGTATCATCATCTGTCTGTGAACTATGAAGCAAAACCGGTTACAGCATCATGGAGGAGTCAGTGGAAAGCCACAGGTGGATTAAGGAGGATTTTCACATCTCAATAAAAAGACTTGGTTTAATGTTAGATACGTGGACATTAAGTGGAAGTAAGATCATTCTGGTATAAAACAACACTTTGTTTTTTGTTGGGTGGTGTAGGTCCAGATCAAATTGTGCAATCTTTTCAAGGATATTTTTGTTATGAATTGTTGCACTCACTTATATTTTAATAATCAGCAACATGATCCCATGATTCTCTGATGTAAAACTTGACTCATTGTTATTGGTGGTGGCATATATCCACCACCTGCCTTATTCTTAATCTACAAATAGCATGTACGCAGTTTTAGGTCCACAGGTCATATACTCAGGGGCGGCGCCAGGGGGGAGCTAGGGGGTGCTGAAGCACCCCCCAGGATTGCCAAAGCACCCCCTAAGCACCCCCAAGAAATATGTGGGTTTTTTTTTTTTTTTCGAAAATTATTATTATTATTTTTATTAAATTAGAAATATTATTGATTACATCAATGCATATGTGAAACAAACACATTTTTGACCAAAAACATAAAGCCAACACAGGTGATATGATTAGGCCAATGGTCAGCACCCATTCGATTTTTGACCTACCCATAGGCTAAATTACTTTGTGACACTTGATTGACTTCCTGTTAGCTAGAGCGCCAAATGATTTGCTAACAGCAAAGTGAAAAATGGATCGTTTTTTAGTCCTTAAACGACCACGTGTGGACACTCAATCAAAACCAACTGAAAGCGAGAGGGATTCTGCACATAATAGGCCTCGTGAGTACAAGTAGCTTACTTCTGGGTCTCTGTGTTTCATTCAAGCCCTGCTCTGTGTGTGTGTGTGTGTGTGTGTGTGTGTGTGTGTGTGTGTGTGTGTGTGTGTGTGTGTGGCACGAGCCATTTTGTGTGCGTGCGTGCGCGAGCGAGCGAGAGAGCTCGCCTCGCGCACCAGTGGGTATCTACCGGAGATCGTTGTGGTTAGCATCTGGTGCTAGCTAGCCAAGCTAATGGATATAAGGAGCTTTTTCAACAACAAGGTGGAGGGAGAACTCTCTCTCTCGTCCTGTCAGACGGAGAGTCTCAGGTAACCTCAACTCAGGTGAAGTAAAGGACAGTGTTTAGATAGTTAACTTTAGTCTAGTTATCTCAGTGGGTCTCAAACGGTTTGTTTTAAAAGGGGAGTGATTTGTAAAATATCTATAAAGAAATAGAAAATCTGTTGACAGTTCTGTTTCGTATGGGTGTTGAGATGTATCCATAGATCTCTTAATGTTGCTCTCAAAGTGCACCAGATTGATGCTTTTAACTTAAATATGTAACAACAAATCTTCCCGGGGGAGCTAGCCCCCGGACCCCCCTAGAGGAGGTGAGGACCCTCCTAGAGGAGGTGAGGTCCGCTCCCCACTTGTAAAAATAGCACTTTACCCCTGCCTATATGCCGTGAGCTGATTATCGAGCCTTCATTGTAACAGTCGCGGGTGCACTGTGTGTGTGTGCGTGGGGAGTGTTGCAGTAGAAAATTCAACTGTAGCGCTGGTGCATTCATGGGAAACCCTAAATGTGTGAGCACCCTCTATGAAACGTCAAGCTACCCCACAGCACCCCCTAGAGAAAATCTCTGGCGCCGCCACTGCATATACTACTCTTTACTACTCTTTATTTATTGTCCACAGGCAGTGTTATGCTAGATGCAGAGGTGGGAAGTAGTGAAGCACAAATACTTTGTTACTGTACTTAAGTATATTTTTCTGGTATCAGTACTTTACTCCACTGCTTATTTTTCTGACGACTTTTTACTTTTACTTTTATTTTTAACACAAATACCTGTACTTTCTACTTCTTACATTTTAAAAACAGGCACATTACTTTAGTTTGAATCTGTGTTTGGTGGCGTGATCATTATTATTTAGAGTCATTGCGTGCCTATTGATTTGAACACGATCCGTGTATCCATAATTTCCTGGTCTTCTCCAAAGAAGAGCGACCAATGAGAACTTTGTCATTTGCCGTTGTTCAGCATCGAATCATTCATTAGCTAACAATTACTTTATTGTTCTATTAATATAAAGACATAATTACTCTGTAGCTATGTTAGTTTGACAATAAATAATCTTGAACCTTGAAGTGAGGTCAGTTATAAAACAGATGGTAGTTATGGGTACTTTTCGAAGTACATTTCGAAGCCCATACTTCTTTACTTTTACTTGAGTAAAGAAGTTTAGTCGATACTTCTACTTTTACCAGAGTATTTTTAAACACGAGTATCTGTACTTTTACTTGAGTAAAGGATGTGTGTACTTTTGCCATCTCTGGCTAGATATCACATTTCTACTGTCAAAATCTGATCTAATCTCTGATGCTGAGATGTACCCTGACCAGAGAAGCAGATGACACACACACACACACACACACACACACACACACACACACACACACACACACACACACACACACACACACACACACACACACACACACACACACACACACACACACACACACACACACACACACACACACACATACCATGTATACATCACTTCAGGGGACATTACATTGACTTACATGCATTTCCTGGAGACTTATCCTAACCTTAACCATAACCAACACATGCCTAACCCTAACCCTAACCCTAACCCTTACCCTTACCCTAAACCTAACCAAGTCTTCACCCTAAAATTAATGATTCCCCTCATGGGGACCTCCAATTTGTCCCCATAAGGGAGGCGAGTCCCCACACGTGACTGTGTAAACAGATTTAGGTCCCCACAAGTATAGTAATGCTAGGCCACACACACACACACACACACACACGCACATACACACACACACACACACACACACACACACACACACACACACACGCTCGTCTCCCTTTATGTTACCAATTACTGTATAGACCAGGTAAGATTCTAAAATCACAATACTTTAGATTAGATACAGAGAGAGGTTTATTATGTTATGTTGTATGTATATATTTAGTGTTTTCATTATTGTGTTGATTGCTTTAAATGTCTGGATTAATAATCAGAATCCGCAAAGTAAATAAAGTTTCCAAACAAATCGGAGTGAAAAGTGCAATATTGGCTTCTTAAAATGTAGTGAAGTAAACATAAGTAGCATGAAATGGGAACGGCAAGTAAACTAGCAGTAACTCAAAATTGCACTTGAGAAAATGCTGAGTAACAACTCACCACTATAAACGCAACACAGTTTACATGTTCAGGCAAACACTGGATGGATTTTAACAAACAGTCATCACAGTATGAACACAGTAAGTCATGTGATTCCATGTCACTGCTTCTCCAAAATGTGTCTTTATGCCAAAGAGAAACTTAAAACTAATATTTTCAGCCAGTGAACACACCTGCTAAATGCAGCCAAGTGACTCCAGCTCACATGGGACGTCTTCTCTTGGGTAAACAAAATACATCCAAAGCCAATGTATCTGATCCAGCAGGCTGGAGAACCGCCTCAATAACAAACTGTCTGCTACGTGTGCTCCTTCTAATTAAACAGTGTGATGTGTGAGATTTAAAGAGCAGTGGTCTTACCTTAGACACATGAGGAAGCTGGGCTGGCAGGAGGACACTTGTCCCATGTTGGTGACAGTTGTGACGTCACAGCCTGTTGGACCGGTTCTCCTCTGGAATTACAAACATTTGAAATGAGTGAAGACCAAACCCTCCCCACCAGTTTCACTTGTACAAACAAACTCAGCCAGAGTTCAGGCTTTCTTTGTAAGATCAAACCTATTCTGTGGTAGCACTTTTTAAACTACATCTGCAGCATTTGCTACCATTCTTATAGCAAGACATGAAATAGAATCAAGCACATCAGAAAGGTTTATACAATTTATTGTATGAAAAGCTAATCATTTCTTAAAATCACAATAGTTGTGTAGAAATAAGGAATACAAATAAATTACCTGTAGGTTTTTGTAGTTGTTTTTAGAGGCAATGCAGATCTTATTCTGAATGATTTGTTTTTATTATGTCTTTTTTTATTCATTCATTCAACCTTATCTTTTATGTATATCTAAGGATGTATAGAATAGTTTATAACACACTATGATGTAGTTGTAAAAGAGTTCAATATCAAATAAATTGTATACAAAATCGAAGAAGTAATGATTAATACTCAACTAATTATCATTCATTGTTATTTTATCATTTTGAGTGGCAGTACTTTATTTCAAAATCCTCGCTTTTTTATATTTAATGTGACAGTTGTGATGTCAAGGCCCTTTCACCTTTCAGCCAATCACATTCATTGTTATCTTATTTTCTATTTTTTCTGACTTTTTAATGTAAAAAAAAACATTCAGATTCAACAATTGTTACCAATGGAAATTGGACTTATATTTAACCTTTCTTTACCCTTTTCTAAGCTCTAAACATGTAGCCTACACTCTAAAAACGAATTCAGGCGACCGTTCACCTCCACTTAATTAAATGCATGGTTGCAAGATAAAAATGTGAGTTAATTGATTTAGATAAACATCTTAAGTTGCAAACATTAATTTATAAGTTGTGTTGACGTAATAATGTTGGTAATTACATCAACTTAATATTGTGTGTAATTTGAACTCTGATTTCTGCGTTAATTGACTTAAAACAAAATTCAAGTTGTAGTAAGTAATGCAATTGGCTTGATAACTTAATTGTTCTACACCTTGAGTTAAGGAGTTCAAGTCCACTCCCACTTAACATGCCTGGACAAGTTCCCACAGTTAAGACAAATAGAAATATACAAAGGACATTTTAAGGTGAGTGTCATCTTTTGTCATTCAAATACAGTAGCCTTGTAGTTGCACTATAGGCAAATTGCTGTTTGACCAAAATTAGCAGCCTTTGAACTGTGAATAGTTCTGTGAGAGGATACAAAGTACACTGTAAAATATTACCATGAATTCACAATATTTAGCTGTAATATTTTACAATAAATTACTGTTTTACCACTTTACAGTCTTTACCTGTAATGTTCACAATATAACACTGTAATTTAGAATTTCACAGTGAAATCAATACAGGCACAGTTAATTACTGTGAATGTACAGGATAAATGATTACCAGGATTTCACAACATGTTACTGTATTATTTCATAGTAAAATACTGTATTCAGTCCATCCTCTGTGATAACACAACAAATTAAGTGATTTTCTTGCTTTTATTGCTCTTGCTTGGCTTTAAATACTAATTTATTTCTTTGGTGCAGGTTTTACCTAAATTGAAAGGGGCACTGCTGCATGTGCCTTAAAATAAATGAGGCAACATATACATCTATGTAAAATTGAAATTGTTGTCTTGGCTTAGTGTTTTCAGGTGCATCCTGGGCATTAATCCTGAGACAGACTCGAAAGCCAAAAAGAGGCATGGCAATTTAAACCCCCATGTCAGCACATTCTTCAGAAAAATTGTTGACTTTGAGTGGATGTCTGTGTAGACATGTGTTAAGTGCTCCCCTCCTTGTTTTCTGTCTCCCTGGCTCCGCCTCTGCCCAGGTGCACCTGGTCTGCCCCTGGCTCCGCCTCTGCCCAGGTGTTCCAAATTCCACTCAGCCGTGTGTATATATAAAGAGAAGCTGGAGGAGAAGGATGTCTCGCCTATCCTAATGCCGGAGACACTGTCCTTAGAATACCTCTTTGCCATTCTGAGCTGTGGGCCATATTTTTGCAGATGTGTTTATGTTTAGCCTGGAGGACCTGGTAGTCCAGTTTTCACGGCTTTATTTTGTTTCCCATAGGGTTTATATTTGATTTTTGGTTAAGGGGGGGAGCTCTGGGTCCTACGGCCTGTGGTGTGGCTGGCTCGGGTTCCCTCCTTCTGTTTGTTCCTTTTGGCCAGTCCTCCAGACCTCTTTTTGTTTCCCTTTTCGCTTGTGTGAGCAAACGGCTGATTATCAATAAATGCTCGTTACCAAGTACCGGTTATTACGTATTCTTTCATGTTGCGGGTCTCAGCACAAGCCACTACCGCGGAGTAGAGGTTGGGGCCGTAACAACATTTCCTAGACACTGTGAAATGTACTTTGGAGTAATACAAAGTTAAAATGGGCATTTTCTTTGTTTTTCTTTGTTGATTGAGCTGATTGAATTGTGTATAGTTATGGTACAATCCCAGTCAAATTTACAATATATTATCGTATTATTTAGATATGTATATTTACAGTAAATTACTAGCTACTGTGTTGCATTACTTCTACAGTAATAGTGTGAACATACAGGTAATTACTGTAATTTATGTACAGCAAGGTACCATAATACCACAGCTCTGTACTGCTATATCACAGTAATTCCATGGGCATGGCAACTGTAAAGTCACAGTATTTAGTTGTACTTTTATTCTAATTAACTGTAAAATATATACATTAAATTACTGTGAAATATTTACAGTCAATTACTGTGAAATGTTTACAGTAAATTACTGTGAAATCCATGCAACTAGTAGCCAGTAATTTACTGTAATTTTACAGCCAAACATTTTACAGTGTAGAGGCTACTGTGAGAGTACAAATACTTTGGTAACTATTGTGATATCACTTTTTATTAAAAATGAATCTCGGTGAAGCAGATCAAGTACATGCTTCTTGAGGTAGGATCGTTATTTAGAGTTGTCATTGAAATGCAAGTGGTTGGTAGTCACCCATTCAGTATATATTCATTTAGGTCATTTCTCTTTTTTTCCTTTTTCAAAAATAGCACAATACAATTGAAGTACGCAGAGAACTATAGCCATCCACCGCCTTGTCGTGTACCTTGGAGAAAAGGAAGAGGACCTTTTCAAGGAGTTTAGCGACGTATTTAAACATCTTGAAATAAAATAAAATCCATGGGCCTAGTGTAAAAACACAGGACAAAAGCACTGCTCTCTGTCAGTTACATTTTGAAGCATATTGCACTTTTGGCCACACCCCAATCAATAATATCTTAACAACGTTCAGCATGGATAGGTGTTGACAGCAATGGCATGGGAAAAGGATTGTGTAACATTTGAAAAGTGGCTTCTGCTCTTCACTTAACCAGTTCAAATATTGTATCGAACCAGCAAAAAAGATGAGAAGGTACACTAAAACTTGCACGGTTGTGATTGACAAAATCTGTCCACATGCATTTAAACACTAGGCAAAGTACTCAAAAGCACCTCTGTGTGTCTTCAGGACCACGTTGCCATGACGACACACACATGCAGACTCAATAGGTGAAAACAATACCAGCGTTGCTTTAGCAGCTGGTAATAATGGCTCTGAATTCGCTAAGAGTGACAGTTTGAAAAGTATGCAATTACCTAATTCATTATCTCTTATGCGATAAACCTATTATTTAATGTGCTTCAAAAGGACATGAATATCGCCTTCATCAGTGACCGGTCCACCCCAGGATCTGACCATACGATGGCAACCATCGTGGTCGAGGGAAACAAATGAATGAGCAAGCATTCTGCGTTAAATGTGTTCATACTGTTTGAAATAATGACTGTCGGCAGTGTAAACATCTTTGTTACATCTTTTGTAAAATGGATGTGTGTGATCTGCAGATTGGTGGCCATTGAGAGTTTGTTTCTGTAGTTTTACAAAAACTTTACAGATTTGACATATTTGGCACTGGTTTTGAATATGCAAAGGCCTCTAACTTCGTTGTGATGGCAGCATGTATTTGCTGTGTCCGCATTTCCCATGGTAATATGGCTAATGTGTTTATTTATTATTTGTGGGGCAATTTAAATGTGTGTTATTTATCTTTTTTTTCAAGATTTAAATGAAGCTCAGCGCAAGTTCTTTCAGGAAGACTGGGTGTATATACATTCGCTCCGCAGCTGCATATAATCAGCTCATCACAGGCGTTCTCTTTAACCTGTTACATTTCACCTCCTTCTCCAGCAGCCAATCAACGTGCTGCAGCCAAACTATAACATGGTTCTCCTCTCTCCTGCAGTCAGCTGTGATTTCAGGTGTTCATGCACCTTATCATATGGCATGTGTCAAAAAATGTTCAAACAAAATGAATTCTCTCCTGATTGAAACATCATGTGTTGAAATAAACAACTGCAGTTGAAAATAAAAAGTGAATTGCCTAACATTTTTGTTGTGGAATCAATTAATTAATTTCTTTAAAGGCAAAAGAAATTGAAAAAAGGCATGAAAAAGCTAAGAAAAAAAACTATTGAATACAATATATTTGGAGCAACTTAATTTATAAATAGTTGTCAACTTAAAAACGTGTGTTCACAATGATGGTAATTAAGTACATACAACTTAAAATTCCTTTTAAATCATGTGGTAAAACAAGTTGGAACAACTTAATTTTTTGAGTAATCAACTTGAAAACGTGTGTTTATGCTACCAATTATTAAGTAAGTGGTAATTAAAAACACCTCTGATTGTAGAGTTGTCTTAACTCAATAAACATCGATGCAAACTGTTACGTTGATTTTCTTTGTTGAGCCAAGGCATTTGTTTTTAGAGTGTACCATACAACTATTATGTGTTACATTTCCAGTTTTTCTTTTCATTAACACATATTGTTATTATTTATCATCTATG